CGTCAAACCTGTAATCTCGCTGAAACAATTAAAAGCATTAACTGAGCTCTTCATGGACATTATTACAAATATATAGGTATCAAACATATCAGCATTGAGTTTGAAGATGAGATTAACCTATACCTAAAGATGATTTTTTAAACACTGAGTATATACTAAATAAAACTACAGTTATGCCTAGTACGAAGTATATTCTAGGCTTCTAGCCGTACCTTGACACCAAAATTGGGGGGAAAAACTTTATCCGTCTTCTTCTTCTTCTTCTTCCTTTCGCAAGCCGCAAAACCAGAGCCTAGAGACGTAAAGGTTGCCAGTCTTCCAGCCGCCTCGCAGGCTACCTGGACTCACCTTGCCGGTTTCCCCTTCGCGGCTCCGCCGCATTAAGTTTGGCGTCATCACTCCGCTGGCCACCGTCACTGAAAAGGAAAGCTCCAGGTCCGCCGTCCCCGTCCGCAAGATCGGAAAATTTGTTACAGAGGCCGCACTTGGTCGGCTGGGCGCGAGCAGTCTCAATCGAGCACTGTTGTCACCACCGTCTATGGTCCTTCCTGATTTAGCTACCGTGGCTGCTGGTAGAGATGAATCCCCTGATGCTCTGCCCCTCCCAGCCAAATCGATGACATCTTTTTAAGCTGTGTGGGTATACGCAGTATAGTTTTGATTTTTTCTGTATGGAAAACCAAGTGATCGCTCAACAGGGGTGACTCTGAGATAATGACAACTCTGACAAATTGTTGGTCATGGTAATACTCCGTACTAAGGGAGTGTTTGCAACTGCTTCTGCTTAAAAAAAGCACTTTTGGAGATGTAAGGAAAAAGTGATTAGTAGTAAAAGTTGATAGTGTTTGAGAAAAAAGTGATTTTGAAAAGTAAAAGTTGGTAGTGTTTGGTAAAATAAGTGCTTTTTGTGTAATAGAAAAGGGAAAAGCACTTTTCACACGCAAACCGAGAAAAAGAAAAAATTGGTAGTGTTTGGTAAATAAGTGTTTTTTAAGCCAAAAGCTGAGAAGTGCTTTTTTTTAAGCGGTTGCAAACACTCTCTAAATCATCTTGGGCATTGTTTCAGACCCCCAAATAGAAGACCCAAGCCGGTGTTAACCCCAACCCAATACATCACTTTTTGGCCCATTGTTATCCATGATGGTGACATTTTTGGGCGTGAAACTCACCAAAATTTCTACTTCTTTTTATATAGAGATAGACTAGAAGCAAGATGACCAACATGATCAGTTGTAACCTATGTAACCGGAAACGTGAAAACAGGGAAATGGGTATGGTGGCATGATAAAACAAAAAAGTAGGATACGGATACGAAGGCATATTTATAAATATTAAAAGATATGAGGGTGCATTAATAAATATTAAAAAGTATAGGGATACATTGATAAATATTAAAAATTACAATTTTTTTTTAAAATATATACATATATTATCCTCTTACATTTGACCAATCGTGGCATTGAAGCATTTCACATTACCAAGGTAGTTAGAAATAAATTCATTCTTTATCTCACATACACTAGTGCATCTCGAAATAAAAATATATCCAATAAGTCATTAATTTGAAATGAGAAACGGATCAAACAATCACAATTTTAAAATTAAAAGTGCACGTACTCAAAGTTATTGGATAATGGAGATTGAAAACAAATACGCTTATAAAAAGCTAATAGTTAAAATACATATTTCCACTGGAGTTACTAATTTCCAGGGATAACACCGTCTTCCAAAAAACAACCTCCAATTCTGATTCATCTATGGAAAGGTTGGTGAACTCAAGTACTCCTATATCCTCCATGCTTCCACCAACATCCTAGATCTTACTTGTCATCTATATACTTAGTGGTGAGCGAGATTTAAGCAATGCATAAAATACTTTTCAGTTTTTTGATTTCTTAAGAATTTTATTATGTATGTATATTTTTGGGTGTTTTTTTAAACAAAGTTGATACGTGTATCCATCAAAATACGGGTATCCAATATTTTAAAATAATTACCAAAAAAAGAATAATGTAATATTTGAATATTAATGGTGTGTCATTCAAATATGATTGTTTTCAAATCTTGTGCATCCGGTTTAAAAATTCATAAAGTAGGAATGATAATCTCTAAAGGTTATGTGGTACCTAAAATGAAACTATGTGCAAGGCCTACTTTAAAAAATTCAGAAGATGTGGGTTAAAAACAATTTTGAGAAGCAAGAAAATGTTTTGATTAACTTGTTACTCCATTTATTTTTTGAAGGGAAATCACACTTTTAGTCTCTCAAATAGTATCACATTGAAATGTAATACCTAGGTTTTCATGTGTGTAAATGTTACCCCTCAATTGTCTGAATTGTTACAAATGTGGTCCTCACTTTCATTGTAAATGTGGCCTCTCAACTCTCAAAGGATTGAATCTACAACAATTTAGACAATTGAAGGTATGGATGGACTGGGACGGGTCAGCCCAGTTTGGGCCGACCGGCACTGTGCAAGCCCGACCCAGCCCGCTAATTTTCAGTCCCGTCCCGAGGGCCGGCTCAGTGGCTATAAGGGAGGGCTTCAGGCTCGTTTTTTTGTCCCAACTCAGTCGGTCCTAGGCCCGAGCCCGATTGCACAATATTTTTTATTTATTGCCTAGTCCCGACCCGGTACTGTTTAGGCCCGGGATGATTCCGGGCTTGAATTTCTTAAACATGCCCAGGCCCAGTCCGGAGCCTGACCCGACCCAGTCTTGTTCCACCCCTAATTGAAGGATGACATTAATAAACTTGAAAACATGGAGACTACATTTAAATGTAGGCATTATCTGAGGAATCCAAACGTGATTTCCCCTTCTTTTGAAATTGTTGAAACATAATAAAATATAGGTGAATAGGTGATGTAGTATATTACCATCTACACCAGGTTAGAAGAAACAAATTTAGTTTCAAAGTTTTACTTTGCGGGTTGAAGGGGTGGGAATTTTTGTGGATTTTTTTTAACCCAGTGGCAAACCATCGAATGATGGGGTAAGAGTTGGGGAACATCTTACCAATTTATTAGGAAGAATATTAATTCGATAAACTAAACAATCAATATGAGTTAAACTTAAGGCGATTTCAGTCGCAAATTATACCGTGGGATCGGCCCACCTTGCACATGGTGTGCCGATCCCAAAACGGCAGCAATCTTAATTAAAACGACATATTCTTTCTTCGCCCAACCATCCTACGAAACTATTTTCATGCACAACCGCTTGCACTTTGATCAGCACACCTCGGAAATTCCAACAGCAAACACGTATTCGCAGACGGATGAAGGGCTCCTTTGTGATTCGCCAACTTATTGCAGCCCTTGGGTGATTCGACGACTTAGATGATGGGCTCCTTTGTGTCGCCAGAGTAAACAGATCGATGCATGTGGATGCCCATTTACTCATTCTGGCCAACAAAAGTTAAAAATGTCCACCAAATTGGTATACATACGGAGCATTTAAAGAGACTAGATTCTCACCCGTGCGTTGCACGGGCAGAAATTATGTAAAAGTTTTATTTCTGTATTTGTGTATAATAAAAGATTCATGTATCAATGTATGCAAGTTGATGAGACGCATTATAATTAACAGAATGATAATTAAAACTCATGGATTCGTAATAAGTATGTTTTGACGCAAGGAGAGATAAAGAAATATTACAGTAAGATTTCTACAATCTACAAATTTCGAAACACTTCCTTGTAAACAACATTTGCAGTATGGTCGGTTTGTTCGCCATCTTCACTGCAAATCAATATTTTCAAACCCTTTCGGTTCGTTACTCTTGATACTGCAACGTAAAGTTGACCATGCGTAAACACCGACTTTTTTAATAGTAGTCCAACATGCTTCAAAGATTGACCTTGACTCTTATTTATAGTCATGGCATAAGAGGTCATCACTGGAAATTGTCTTCTTTGAAACTTAAACGGTATCCTTGAATCCGAAGGCGTTAAGCTTAACCTGGGAATGACAATTTCATGATCAGCATATTTCCCACCTAAAATTTTTGCACCTAGAATGTGCTTTCCAAGTCGTGTAATAATCAACCTTGTTCCATTGCAAAGGCCCATTGAAGGGTCAATATTTCTCAAACGCATGATTGGTGTACCAACCTTAAGAGTTAACTCGTGGTTTGGAACTCCAGATGCACGTATTTTATTTAGAAATTCTGGAGTGTGCAAATCAGCCAAGACATCCGCATTAGAGTCGGATTTGCAAATGCTATCTGAACTTAGATATGTCCTTGACTCTTCGTTAACGTTCAAAGATGTCATGTACTCATTAATAGCATCGACAACATCCAAAGTTGGAGCCATAATTGCACGCTCTTGCAAGTATGATGGATCATTGGCTATATTTTCAAAGTCCGGATAGGTGTTTTGGACAATAGTGGCAATGGGATCGTCTCCACACTCTAACAAAATGTCACTTGGAATTTTAACATCTGCTATGCCATCATTACCTTCGCCGGCAGTCCCGTCTCCCAAACTCGCAATCCACTGAGCAAACTCTACCAAATCTTCGTATTCACGATCATCAGACAATGATTGCAACTTCATGTTCTTAGTTAAACGCAATACAATGCAATCATGCCAAATGTAAGAAGAGTTAATAGTTGCGTTGACTATGTCTTGTCTGGTACCTTTTGGTATGACTGGTAAAATTTGTCTGAAGTCCCCCCCAAATACCACTGTTTTTCCTCCAAATGGTTTGTCACCGCTACATGAATTGGTGAATTTGAGGATGTCCCGCAAACTTCTGTCAAGGGCTTCGAAACAGTGTTTGTGCGTCATCGGCGCCTCATCCCATATAATCAATTTGAACCTAATTATCAATTGCGCAAGTGAACTCCCTTGTTTAATGTTGCATGTGGAGTTCTCATTTGGATTGATTGGTATCACAAAGCGTGAATGAGCTGTCCTACCACCAGGTAGCAGTAAAGCTGTGATGCCGCTTGAAGCAACATTTAAAACAATTTCTCCCTTGGACCTCAAAGCAGCTGACAAAGTTTTCCACACAAACGTTTTCCCAGCACCTCCATAACCATAAACAAAGAATACCTCACCACTATTTTCTTCAACAGATTGCATAATGGTTTTGTATACATCACGTTGTTGATCATTCATACTGTGTACGCATTTGTCATGTTCTTCGCGTAAAGCAGCACGATCGTATTGCAATTCGTCAAATATAAGCCTGTTCTGATACATGGCAGAGTCACTGATGGTAGGGAATGGCATTGATGGATAGTCTTTTAAGCTCCTACCAAATCTCCTCAGCATCATCTCTATTTCGCTCAATGCATAATTCTTAATCTCAGCTTCAGTCAACGTTAGATCTAAAATTACAAACGTTAAATGTGAATATCAAAGAATATCGTATAGATAATGTACGTTAAATTGTAAATATTTAAAAAACAATATATATATATATATATATCTAAATATATATTTACATACATATATATATATATGTGTATATATATATATATATATATTGTTATATACTTAATATATAGTTATTGACTTTCGGTACCTGGATGCATCAAAACTCTTCTTTGTCAGTGTAGAATCTCATCTGACATAAATGTCCAACATTTGTCCCAAACGTATTCTGGCCTGCTCATCGTATCTGCTGCCAATAAAATGACAAATACCTTCCTAAGACCCCATGCAGAAGTCCAAAAGCTACCTTCAGTAAATCCTTCAACATACTCTTTGTCATCGTCCAGTAATCCTAAAGCGTAACATGCCTCACGATACGTATCATGACAAATGCCATCTACAGTTCTTAGATCATTGTAGCTTGTAGGCCCACGTTTCAAATTAAGGATGCAGCGCAAATAATAAGATTCCCCGGATCCTGGAGGCACATATGTTAGACGACCTATGGCAAAACCTTTTTTTCGAGGTACAAATTCTCTTGTAGCATCCTTCCAAACAAACTTTTGAGGGAATTCTGCATAAGTTAAGTCCTTGGCCTCAGGATACTGTTCATTTGCTCTCATCCATGCCAAAAACATACTCTCCTTAACAGACTCACGCAACACCACATCACTAACACTTGCATCATCTTCAAAGTAAACATACTGCTCGTTGGGGAAGTGAAAGCCTAAACGTTCAACAGATGGATTCTTATACTGAATTTGAAACCCATATATTCTCCACATTCCCTCACATGGGGATATATACCGACAATCATAGTACAACTTGATTTCATCAACAGGTTTCTCCATGTCTTCTGTACTTGATGTCTCGTAAAACCCTGCAGTGACACGATCATTCCCTTTGTTCACATACTTGAACAAATATTTTATTGACCTCGTTTGGTTACATCACTCCACATTAAGATGAGCGCCGTACTTCATCAGCAATGACCTATTGTGGGGAACAACATATCTATTGTCAAGGGGCACACTATTTTTGACAATTATTCTCCCATCATTTCGTCTCCTATATTTGGGATAACCTTCGTCATCAATGTTTGTTTGCTCGTTGAAGTGTTTTGGAAAGTGCTTTGAACATTTAGAATTAACCATGCAAGGGGCATTCTTTGCTTCATTGCCACATGGTCCATGCATCATATGTGTGCACACCGCTTTATAATACTGAGGATCGCTTGTCTCATCTGGTATTTCAGCAGATATAATGCGGTCAATGTCCATTGGGTTGGGAAATTTGTCAGCATTCCCCATGAATAATAAGATATGAGCATGCGGCAGCAATCTTAATTAAAACGACATATTCTTTCTTCGCCTAACCATCCTACGAAACTATTTTCATGCACAACCGCCTGCACTTTGATCAGCACACCTCGGAAATTCCAACAGCAAACACGTATTCGCAGACGGATGAAGGGCTCCTTTGTGATTCGCCAACTTATTGCAGCCCTTGGGTGATTCGACGACTTAGATGATGGGCTCCTTTGTGTCGCCAGAGTAAACAGATCGATGCATGTGGATGCCCATTTACTCATTCTGGCCAACAAAAGTTAAAAATGTCCACCAAATTGGTATACATACGGAGCATTTAAAGAGATGCAGGAGTATTTATATATGTATATAGGAGAATGATCCTGTCCGAACGTTCGGACAGGATCCTCCGTCCGAACATCCCCGTTTGGGGCCCTTCCCGGTGGAATTTTTTGATGAAATTTTTTGAGCATGTTCCTCATCAAGTCTAGTTTGTCCATACCAAATTTCAGCTCAAAATTCGATCGGGAAGGCATTCAAATCATTTTTTTAAGTTGACTGCGTTTTTATATGTATATTTTGACGCAGTCAACTTCAAAAAATCATTTGAATGCCTTCCCGATCGAATTTTGAGCTGAAATTTGGTATGGACAAACTAGACTTGATGAGGAACATGCTCAAAAAATTTCAGCAAAAAATTCCATCGGGAAGGACCCCAAATGGGGATGTTCGGACGGTGTTTGGACGGGGAATGTTCGGACCTGAACATTCCTCTATGTATATATACATATAAATATAGATATAAATATTAGACAGCTTACATTTTGATTGGGTTCAACTTACATGTTCGATAACGTAATTTACATTTCCATTTATCTCAAGTAACATTTATCTCAACAGGAGTATTATGTTCATTTTACATCACAATGTACGCGAGTTACATCTTAATGTATGCGAGTTACATCTTAATGTATGTGAGTTACACCACGCGCTAGTTATACCACAACATAAACCCCTGCTAATGAGCAAAAAATGATTTTTTGGGGAAAAATTGATTTCTTTAAAACAATTTATGGTCTTGATATTAAAAATAAAACATATTCACAATTTAGATAAAGTGAATAAGTAATTGGACTCTTTTTCTTAATGTTTACACTAAAATAAGTGTTTTAGAAAAGTAACACTGCGACTTGCCCGCAGTTACATTTCTAATCAGTGTGAGTTACATATCTTTACAAGCGAGTTACATCACCCAATTGCTGGAACAAGAAAAAAAACAAAAATAAAGTTACTGTTCACGCGGGTGAACAGTAACACGCGAATTTGTCTCTAGGAGCACTATGCTCATGGTGGGTTGCTCCCACTAGGGTTGTAAACGAATCGAATCGAACCGAATACTTAACAACATTATTCGTATTCGTATAATTATCGAATATTCGTATTCGTATTCGTTTAATATCCGAATATTATTTTATATTCGTATTCGATTCGTTTGTATATTCGAATATATTCGAATATTATTCGAATACTATTCGAATATTCGTATTCAAAAAACATTAATGTTAAATTATGAAAATAATTAAAACTATCATGTATAATTTGGGCCTATTACCTCATTTTGATAGTTTATATTTCTTACCAAACAAGATATATGTACAAGTCACTCTTCAAATATAATATCAATATAAATAAATCAACGAAGAATTTTAACTCCAAAATAAGATATTTTGACTTAGCAAAGTAAGAACATTTAGATTAAAACATGCAATATACCTACTAGTTTTTGTACATAAATATTATTATGTCATTGATTTTTTTACATTGAATTTTATTTATTTATAAGGAGTAATATATATTGTGTGAATATGTGTGTGTGTGTTCGAATATGTTTCGAATCGAATATCATAGTATTTGTATTCGTATTCGAAAACTATTCGAATCAAGAAACAGATTTGTATTCGTATTCGTATTCTATTTACTCGAATTCGAATACACATTTTCGAATTCGAATCGCGAATCGAATCAAAATTATTCGATTCTTTTACAACACTAGCTCCCACAGTATAACAACTCGATTTCAGTCGATTCATATCAAATCAATTATTACTTTGAAATCTCTAGGTTGAATAAGAATAATGGATTATCAATCGAACATGGTCGTTTTCCCACTTTGTGGCTTTGTGCACCATGTCTAATAAAAACTTAAAAAGTCCTAAACTAATAATAATGGTGTATCAATCGAACATGGTCGTTTTCCAACTTTGTGGCTTGGTGCACCATGTCTAAAAAAACTTAAAAAGTCCTAAACTAATAATAACGAGATTTCCTAAAGATAATGCGGTAGCTAAGATGAAAATCGATGTTAGACACTTCAAAAAATCAGGTCATGAATATATCAATCTAATCAAGGTGATAACTCCAGCCCCCTCCTAAAAATGGGGTACCGTATCTACCATTCATTTGATTGGACTATATCACTTTATCATTTTTAATTTAGATTTAAATAATTCAACTGCTACATTTTCATTGGTCCATTTGGACAAAGGTATGGTACCTTATGAGTACCATAGAATCTACCTTTTCAATACAGTAACTTTTATCATTTTTTATGGCCAAATTACCAAATTGGTAAAAAAAGGGCTGTTTTAGAGATTGGTAAAAAAGAACAATTTGAGATATATGGTGAAATTCACAGGAATAATCTGTACCTTTAGGGATTCTACAATAATAATCCCTACTGAGATTGTCTACAAAAATAATCCGAACTAACAATATTGTTCATAAGAAAAAATTGGGTGAATTCAAATTAATGTTTGTTTAAAACTTTCAACACTTGCTCTCGCTTTTCTCTTCCCCGGGACGAAGAGTGACGAATGAGAAAGTGGAAGTAGAGGTTGGAAATATTAAATGAGCATTAGTTTGAATTAAATTTGATTTATTCTTATGGACATTATTGCTAGTAAGGATTATATTTATAGATACTCTAAGTATGGATTATTATTGTAGAATCCATAAAAGTATGGATTATTCTTGTGAATTTCACCGAGATATATTGGTAAAAAAAAGAGATTTTTACGTAAATATTAGCAATAATGTTTGGGTTTACAAAAAAGTGACTATAACTACCAATCACGTATGAGAGCATGGGAATAACTATAGGGAAACCACTTTGTTTTTATCCGTTGTCATATTTTTGTTAGAGAGATTTAAGGTAGTAATATTTGTGTAATTTTTTCTAAAAAATAAGCCCTAGTGACAAATTGATCAATTTTTTGTGAGTGATAAACTTTTGATCATCGACTTCAGAATTCCCAACATTTCACATTCTAAGTATTGTGAAATTGACATTTGCATTTTAATTTGCAGTCATTTTACTGTGATTTTGTCATCAAAAGTTAAGGTCTAAAAATGTCAACGACCGTGTTTGATAGTAGTAGTTGTTTGCTAGCTCATAGCCGGTTGAATCAGCAGATTGATATTAGCGGATTCCGTTAGTTTTTTTAACTAACTGCTTTCATTAGCGGTTTGAAATGAAATGTTATTAACTTAAAATTTGCAATTAGCTTTTCAGACGTAAAATGACCTTAAAAATGAATCTAAAAGTTTATATATTTAAATTAGTTTTTTTAATAAGTCTTGGAAAAAGTTTTACGTTTATTTTAAATAATCACTAATGCTATCATTTTTAAGGTATGTACATTAATGCGAGTACATACATATACTTTTCATATATTTTTAGTATTAATATTTTTAATATGACTGTTTATTAGTTTTTTTTTAAAAATCTACTCCATTAAAAAAAATCTACTCCAGAATTCTACTCCATATGACTATTTATTAGTTTTTTTAAATCTACTCCATGGTTATTTAAAATAAATGTAAATTTAATTTTTGAAACATTTTCAAAGACTTATTAAAAATAAAAGAAATAAAGTTAAGATAAATATAGATACTTTTAAATTTCAAACGCTAAAGAAAGCGGTTAGTTATAAAAGCTAATGA